ATGTTGGCAAGCGTAGGACCAGTTGTAATTTGTATATTCAAATTGTTTACTTCTTATGTACATCATATTTCTGTTGTAATTACAAATATTGTTGGTTTGTTTTGTACCTCTAGATTACTGATGATGGAATTTTGATGATTCCGAAACGTTTTATAAATGCTTTCTATTATCACGTTCGTGTTTTGCTTTATCATTTGTTGTTGTTGTTTTTAGGAATTGAGATTAATAGAATAATGGAGCAAAAGATGGCAGCACTAAACTATATCATAGTTGCAAGAAACCGATGAAGATGATAACCTACCGTAGAAAAAGTCATCCTCAATATATGACTTTCTAACTACTTTTATTCAGCCCTTAAGCATTTAAATATTATAAGGGAAGACAACAGCCCGCCTTAAAAGAAATAAGGATTCGATTATTTGTTAATTACAGACTATTGTTGGGTCTTGTTTCTTCGTGAAACGTATGTTACAATCCCCTTAGTATTAAAACATCACCATTTGATCCTATTGCTTCTTTCGTCTGCAGGCTCTTTTCGTTGTTCGATAAAGATAAATACAACGCCAAAGCATTTATCTTTAACCTACCTTATTTTTTCTTCGGTAAAGTCCTACAGGCCATTTTCGCTAATAGGCTTAACTCACAAATAAGTCTAAAAATATCAGTTTTAAATTTTGCCTCCCAGTTTTCCAGTCTTTGGCCAACTTGCTTTTTCCGTACACCACAAACAAAGTTGTGCAACATTGTTGTTGTAGTATTCTTTAAAGCGCTTGATTTATACGCACTTCTTACACTGTCGTTTTCTTTATTCCACATTTAAGAATGAAATATATTTTACTTTTAAAAGTCTATCCATTCGAATCGTATTATTGTCCGTACTACTACTGCTGACTACTTTCTGGGCTTACCTTTTTATTAAGGTTTACATAACTGAAACCGTTAATATTTTCTTTTTCGAAAGAATCATTATTGTTTAATTATATCATCCTATAACTTTCTTCATTAGCTCACGTTCCTCAGTGGGCAAAGTTGAATATACATATATATGCTATGGTACTAATAGGTTTTTTGTTTCAACAAGTTACTTTCACTGAATAGTTTTGTGAACCTTAAAAAAAATATGCTGTATGCTCCATGATCAGATTTTAAAATGTTGAACGATTTTCCTTAAAACGATTTCAGAATATACGAACAAAGGATATATTCATTTAAATGGGCTACTGTGACCCTTTTTATTTCCATTTGAATGTACTAGCGATGTTTAATTGATGTTTTGTAAAGCATACGCGTGTTTTATAAAAACATTAACTAAAATAGACAAATATAATAGTAAGTAAGTAGCCAGATTTTTGCCTTATTGACTGCCTACGAAAAGTGTTTGATAAATAAGTTCAATCATTGTTCTACTAAATAAATAATATCCTTACCAAAATCCTTTTTATTCAAACTGTATTTTTAACAAACGTTCTCATTTGCCAAATGTTTGTTTGTTTTGTTTGTTTTTGAATTTCGCGAAAACCTACACGAGGACTATCTGCACTAGCCGTCTCTAATTTAGCAGTGAAAGATCACTCAACACCAATTCTTGAGCTACTCTGTTACCAACGAATAGTGGGATTGAACGTCACATTATAACGCCCCCACGGCTGAAAGAGCGAGCATGTTTGGCGGGACGGTGATTTGAACCCATGGCCCTCAGATTGCGAGTCAAGCGCCCTAACCATATGGCCATGCCGGGCCTCATTTTACAGGAACTTTCTATAAAAATGTCCAATTACTTATGGAAAAGTATACTAGTAGCTGCACCACCGTATCCCCCCTTTTTCAATTTAGAAGTCAGTTCAAAATATAGTATTTAGTTTTTTGAATTTTTAGTGGTTTTCATATATTTTGAATTATTAATTTCAAATATTTATGGGAATTAATAACCACGAAAAAAATGAGTATATTAGAAACTAACCTACAGCCCTCTGTCAGTGTAATTCCAAAGCTTTTTTTTTCTGATTTGGGTTTGCAATATTAAAACTTTAATTTGTACAAACGCATGGAGTTCATGGTAAAGCAAAACTTAACAAGTAATCTCCATATCATATTCAAATCGGCCCGGCATGGCAAACTGTGATACGTGGGTTCGAATCCCCTTGCAGCCGTAGGATTGTTATAATGTTATGATCAATACCACTATTCGTGGATAAAAGAGTAGCCCAAGAGTTAACGGTGGGTGGTGATGACTAACTGCCTTCCCTCTAGTCTTTCACTACTAAATTAGGGACGGCTAGCGCAGATAGCCCTCATGTTGCTTTGCGAGAAATTTAAAACAAACTATATCTTAATGTATTACCTTATGAAGTTCACGACTGGTGACGGGTTAAAATATTTCATGGTTGCTTAGTAAATTTCTGTGCTATGAACGTATACATAACTACTGGTCCCATATTTAAAAGGTAAGCACCTGTAGTTTAACAGATATTTACACTGGTATTAAGTGACAAAAGAAAGTTCCAGGTGAAACCCAATCAACGATGACTCACAAGAAAAATGAACACAAAGACAAAAGAAAGAAACAAACAAATAAAGCATATATTTCATTTAGAAATGTGTTTCATATACTAAATATATAAACTAAGATAAATGGTAAACTGAAATATACTACGCATTATCCTTCTATATATGCTTAAATATAACATTATGAATAACATTATTTTCAGTTAAAATTGGAGTATTTTTGTCAGTTAATTAAACCTGGCGTATATGTTGTAAGTTAAACCTTGTTTATTTGGGTTAGTTAATACCGATGCGTTTGTTTTCAGCCAATCCTGTTATGTTTGTTTTCACCTAACCCTGATATGTTTGTTTTCAGCTAACCCTGATATGGTTGTTTTTAGCTACCCCTGATGTGTTTGTTTTAGGCTAACCCTGATATATTTGTTTTCAGCTATCCCTGACATGTTTCTTTTAAGCTATGTGTTGTTGTTTTTTCAGCTGACCATGATATGTTTCTTTTCAGCTACCCCTCGTGTGTTTGTTTTCAGCTAACCCTGATATGCTTGTTTTCAGCTAACCCTGATATGCTTGTTTTCAGTTCTCCCTGACGTATTTGTTTTCAGCCTATCCTGTTATATTTGTTTTCACCTAACCCTGATATGTTTGTTTTCAACTAACCATGATGTGTTTGTTTCAGCTAACCCTGATATAGTTGTTTTCAGCTCTCCCTGACGTGTTTGTTTTCAGCTAACACCGATGTGTTTGTTTCCAACTAACACCGATGTGTTTCTTTTCAGCTAACCCGATGTGTTTTTTACCAGTTAATCCTGACGTGTTTGTTTTCAGCTACCCCCGATGTGTTTGTTTTCAGCTACTCCTGAAGTGTTAGTTTCAGCTACTCCTGAAGTGTTAGTTTCAGCTACTCCTGAAGTGTTAGTTTCAGCTACTCCTGAAGTGTTTGTTTTCAGCTAACCCTTATTGTGTTTAAGTTAAAACCGATGTACTTGGTTTTAATTAAACTTGATGTACCTATTTTTGCCTAAACTTGGTGTGTTTGTTTCCTGATAAAGTTAGCTATTTATTTTTAGTTAAGCTTAACGTGTTTCTTTTTTATTTGAACTAATTTATCAATCAGTTAGACTTTCTGCGTTTGTTTTCTGTTTGAGCTAATGTCCTCTCGTCAGTGTTTATTTATTAACAGAGCTAATGTACTTGTTTTCAGTTAAATTTGGAGGATTGGTTTCTGTTCATATCAACATGTAATTACTGTCAATTAAGCTTATTATGTTTGTATTCTATTCGAGGTAGAGTGGTTATTATCAGTAAAACTTGGTGGATTGATTTTTTATTTGAACTTGATGCACGTGTTTTCAGTCAAACGCGGTACAGTTGTCTTCAGTTAGAGAAAATATGTCTGATATAATTAAACTCCTTGTGTTTCCAGTTTAACCTGGTGTTTTTAACAAGCCTAACGCCCTTGTTGACAGTTAAAGTTGATGTATTCTCTAGTTTAAAACAAACAAACCTAAGTTACCTGGTGATCTTGCATTAAAGCAATTCTTGCAATATATTAATGAGAGGTTCTGACTTGGAGCTATACTCTTTCTGACCTGAATGACTGTTTAATTTTAGCCATCTCACCCAGATTCTCTGCATACCAGTGCCCTACAATAACAACACAAGAAAAAGGAGGCCATTTTTTCCCCCCAACCAACTGGCTCATTACTGGATAGAAATAATGAGATGGTATGAAAATGTCTTTCATGACCACTCCAACATTGTTTGAGTGTACTAGGTTAGAATTTTGAATTATTTTGGCATGAGTCCCGCGAGTTAGGAAACGTGACGTACAAGCACAAGACGTGTCGAAACAGTTGGTATGGGTGGCTAGATAAATATATACGATCAGATTTTTGCAGTTACACGTGGACCCGGTTTTTAAAGTAAGTTTATCTTATTTTTTTATACACAGAAAAAATAATGTCATTAAAAAAACTGAATATTTGATACCGACAAACATCCGTTCTGCATTCTTCCATAAAGGTCTACAGCATATTTGCATATACATCAAGCGACTAATATACAGATGTGTATATATATATATATATACAACAAACTTCTATATCAACACATATAGAGAAGACGTAGGCATTAAGCCACTTAAAATAAATACTCCAGGAGCTAAAATAAGTCCAGACTGACAGAAAAGAATCATGCTTGAAAATATGAGTGCTGACATGATTGTGAAACAGTTTAAAAAGACAAAGAAAAATCGACCTTATAAACCAACGCTAACATACACAATGGACTATCCGTGCCATACCCACTAAGAGTATGTATCAAAACCCGGTTTTTACCGTTATAAGACTTCAGGCTTACCACTGAGCCACTGAGGAGTATTCTGATCAGTAGAAACTAGCATAAGTAAATCTACATGTCTAGGAAACACGTAATTAAAATCATGTTTTCAGTTTTCCATGTTTCTTTATTTTCCCAAACGAAATGCATACACTAATTCAGCACAACTTACAAATACACAAAATATTTACTTTGAGAGGATATATTAGATCAAGGATGCTTTAGATACTCTAACAAATGTATTATTGTTACAAGTAAAAAGAAAAAACTGACGAAGAGGTAGAAATAAAGACTAAGATTTCGTTATTTAAAAGCACATTGTTTAACACTCATGTTTTTCCTTAGAAATTTTTAATTTGAAGATCTACAAACAGTTAATAGTAAGTCCAAAAATTAACTGCATTATTATTAAACAACCAACAACAAATGAATATTAAGAAACTACAATACTTTACAAAAACACAAAACCACAGTCAAAACGCATATGTTCTAAGTACAATTAATGTTTCATGCTAAAAGTAGAGTCTTGAAATCATTACATACGTATAGATAAGGGATAGTTTACATTTTTTAATATCTGAACTTCTGCTACATGTAAGGGGGGGGGGGGGTTCTACATAAAGGAAACTATCGAAATAACCAGACAAACAGTGGATTACAATTAAGCCTCAGCTACGTCCCTGGCACATAAGGAGGGTTCATATTAAAATTACCACACGCTTGTTAAGCACGTGGTAATACCAACCACTTCACCATATGAGATTCGGTTGTTTTTCATCAACATTTTTATTTTCTGGTTTTTTATCTATATATTTCGAAATTAGAGAGGGAATGAGTCAAACTTAATCTTAAAGTATTTCGAAGTTCCAATAGTGGTGACAACCTCTTCTTCTTCTTCTCTTTGCTTTAGGGTTGATATTTTTTAGAATATGAGAGCAAGAGTTCTAGGTATTTGGATAGAGATGTGACAAACTTCACTAATGTTATTTGTTTTAGGGTTGATATTTTTTAGAATATGAGAGCAAGAGTTCTAGGTATTTGGATAGAGATGTGACAAACTTCACTAATGTTATTTGTTTTGGGGTTGATATTTTTTAGAATACGAGAGCAAGAGTTCTAGGTATTTGGATAGAGATGTGACAAACTTCACTAATGTTATTTGTTTTGGGGTTGATATTTTTTAGAATACGAGAGCAAGAGTTCTAGGTATTTGGATAGAGATGTGACAAACTTCACTAATGTTATTTGTTTTGGATTGATGAATCTGAATGATTTTTTAATATGAATTTTTCTCCCAACCACAGAGAGTGATGACAGTAGTGTGGTGGTGTGGACTTGTTTTAACTGTTTTGAATAGTCGTTAAGGAAGCCATGGCCCAATGGAAGTACTTAAGGAAGTAATGAGAAACACTGTACGTTTAGTTATTAGATGCACTTCCGCAGGTTCCCCTAAAGTGTTCTGTTTCAAGAGAAAATAATACCAAAATTAAGGTAACAAATATTTTTATTTCTTGCTTTTGAAGTTCATATATCATGCTGTGTTGTAGCCTACAGCCTGCGTAATTCTTCTCTTGATTCATGGCATGCCCACGTTTTCTGACGTCACGACAGTACAAATTGCAACGTTAAGCGTCCCTTATGTGACGTCATTTTAGTGTCTACTTACTGACTTACAGACAACACACTACTGTATAGTGGTGGAAGTTGTTAAAACAGGTGACCCCTACAGGCGGCCTTCGGTCCCTTTTCAGGGAAATTAGTAGTTAGAGCCATTAGAAATTCTCGATAATTTTTCCAGTCTCTAAAAGTCTGGTGAATAGCTTTGCCTGACAAATAGGGTTTTCCAGTGACTAGGTTAAAGAACATCCAGTTACGTCCAGTTCCGTGGTGACACTTTAATATACGGATAAAAATTGTGTCACAAGTTGTTGTGAAGAGGTAACTGAACCAGTTTCAATAAAGTTTAGTAGAGGAACTCGGCCCGAAGGTCGGGTTGAAATAGATCAAAAGAACAGTTCCGATTTAACAGCCATTTCAATGTTTCGAATGAGGGCTCAACTGAGCAAAGAGACGGTAGCAAAATATACGTGAAGCCGACACCAAACGAAAGTAACGTTTAATCCCGAGTGTAGCTCGGAGACCTTGATATAAGACGTACGATTCGTGTGGCACGGTTCAAAATAGGCATTATGGCACTAATTTTGAAACCCGGCAAAGGTAGGTACTTTTGCTATAATATATCAAACAACTGTTGACGATGCATCGTTTTCATACACGGCCACATCTGCAGATGTTACTGACTGAAATCAAATGATACGATACATTGACGCCTTAACACCTGCTAGACAGAAGTAAACATGAAACTTTACAGGTACATCTACCCGATATTTGTCGACTATTAATGTTATAAACTGACTAACTTTTCATTACAGTGACCTAATTACTGTGAAAATAAACATATTTGCTTATTGTAACAGTTAACATCAGAGAACATTTTGAAAGTCACTAGTAGGATTACGTCCGATAGTGTCATTAATGGTAAGAATACCTAATTGATAATTCAGTGTTTTCTAATGATTATAGTTTTATTTGAATGGTGAATTGGTTTACGACATTAACAAGTTCGCGTTCGTCTAACATACAAGTTTCATTAATGTATAGTTACTTTTAGGTTCTGTTTTTCTTAATATATTTTTGATCAGAAGTTCCTAATAAATCAATATACTGATATAACACGTAGACTAGATTTTTCCAGTCAGTTTCGTACGATAACGTACTTGTTCTCATCTCACAGATGAAGAAAACGTTTCAGTTATTCTATTTTAAAGATCATGTAGATTATCACATGATTTTGATTTAGCTGAAGATTTGTGTAAGATCCGTTTAATAAAACTTTTAACCTTTCCACACGAAATTTCAGATGAGCGACTTCTGGCTTTTTCCACACTGATCGATTCCTTTTGTTGCTGTATTTTCAGCCGAATCTGAGTAAGTAGGCCAACCAGAAGTTCATCCACGTGGTGGTTTATTCCCGCTGAAGTTTCTATAAACTTACAGTTACATGAGGTCGCTGCGGTTCGGCCCTCTGTAGGAGAAAGATATATCTATATCACTGAAAGTCAGGCAACATACTTATAGTACAATATAGGAGATAACTAGCATTATAGTACAAAATATATTATAATAAAATGATAAAGAATATTAATAATTAGTTAATTGGTTTTGCTTATACTATGTGAGAAAACTTTTCTTATTGGTTTTTTTTAAAGTTTTTCCTTTTACTTTGATATTGTTTTCGAAAATAAAAGTAAAGTTTAGAGAAATTCTACATTAATAAAAGAAAAGAATCGTAAAATTACGTGAGGAATGATAGACACTTCAAATTAAGTTGAAACTACCATAATAAACTAAAACCACGCTATATCGTTTTAATGTGTTTCGAAGCTGGTAATATTTGTTTGTTGGCCCGGCATGGCCAGATGACTAGGGGCGTTCGACTAGAAATATGAAGGGCGCGGGTTCGAATCCGCGTCCCACCAAACATGCTCGCCCTTTCAACCGTGAGGGGTTATAATGTTACGGTCAATCCCATTATTCGTTGGTAAAAAAGTAGCCCAAAAGTGTAGCTTTGCGCAAAGTTCAAAACAGTTTGTTTGTTATGTATTTTATTTGAAGCAATGACCATTGATTTTTGGAGATAATTACATAAATTCAAAACAATTCTACTTTACTTCAAACCTTTAAAAATCTTTAACAATAATATTAATTTATTTTAATTTCGATATTTTAAATGATTTTGAGGGTTTTTAATACTTATTTATCAGGTTTTTTTTATCGTCACAAAAGCCCCCTCAGCGGCTCAGTGATCACGCTGAGAGCTTATAACAATAAAAATTATTTTTGATACCCACAATGGGCAGAGTACGGATAACCCATTGTGTATCTTTGCCCTCGACAACAAACAAACAATCGCTTCAAAAAACACCATTGTACTATGAATATTTTTAAATTTCTATTTCAATTCCTGTTTCTCTCTCTCTCTCTCCTTGATATAGAATAAGAAAAACAATCAGTCGACATTAAAACATTTTTTAGTTGGCGGATTCCATAAAAAAAAAACACGAAAAAACGGTGGATTAGTACAATCTTAATGAAGAAATCAAGACGGATTCAAATTATTAATTAACTTAAAACCATTGAATGTAAGCGGAAATATGAAATTGATTATCAGATTTATATTGGAAATAATTAATAGGATTGAAATACAGGAAAAAGGGAACTTTTCATGTAACATCGTATTTTCCTATTTTAATTATTTTGCTTATGTTAAAAAACAAACAAAACTACCTATGTTTTTCAGAGACGGAAATATGAAACTGATTATTAGATTTATATTGGAAAACACCGAATAATTGATAGGATTGAAATACAGGAAAAAGGGAGCTTTTCATGTAACATCGTATTTTCCTATTTTTCATTATTTTGCTTATGATAAAAAAAAGAAAACTTCCTATGTTTTTCCGAGACGCCTCTTTGTTGTTTAAATAGACGTTTGTAATTACTAAAAAACCTAAAACCAACCTACCGTTACTTGTGACTTCCCTCAGCCTCACTAGGTCCGTCTTGTTTCCGACAAGGACAACAGCTTTATAGCCGTTACTGGGATTTTTATAAATCTGCTGGAGTAAGGACTTGGCTTGTTGAAAGCTGCGTTTGTTAGTCACAGAATATACCACAGCGAAAGCGTCGATATTATAAGTTGTCGAGAAAACTTGAGGCTGAAAAAAAAGGGGGAGGAGGATTTTAGGCTTAGAACGATTTGGCGTTCAATTTGTATCACCTCACAAAACAGGAAATGTGTTTTAATACAGAGAAGAGTTACAGAAACTCGACGTAGTAAATACTACTGAGCAGGCCCTTCAAGAGGGCGGGGAAGCTGGGGATATTTTCCCAGGCCCCCACTACCCATCAGAAGGTCCATGAGAGCGGCAAACATTAACTGCCCCTTCAATGCGTGTACGCGGCATAATTTCAAAAATTGCTGGGAGGGGCGTGTTCTTCCGCGGAGTTCCTAAGGGCTCTCACCGGTCCTACTATCAAGGGGACCTCACGCTTACGTAAAAAATATATAACGAGTATTAATAAACTTGAAGGCTCAAATCACATTTGTTCCGTATACATGGAACAAAGAGAAGTCGTTACATATACAGAATCTTACTTACAAATATTATTGTTACATCATAAATGGTGGAACTCAAAAACACTCTCTGTATTATAAGAAATAATCTAATAAACAAAAAAAAATATTTTATATATATCTGGAGTGTATAGGTCGTGCTTTTTCTAAACTTTTTATCAAAATTTGTAAATCCCTCCAGTATGCACTACAAATTTTGAAAGACAACAAAAAATCTAATTGTTATTATATTTAGATTATCCTATTAAATAATAAAAATGTTACATTCTATGTACCCTGATATTGTGTACTGTTTTGTACATGCTGAATCTCGAGGCTTTGACGTCTTTCTATATACAGAGTATTGCAAAAAATTACTATACAATTGGTACCAAAGAAAATATTATGCAGACAATTTAAATTAATTTAATTATTGTTTGTTTCAGAGTAAGACGTTATAAATTAAATTATGATCTAAATGAAACACCTGTACAGCCACTTGTACTGCACCCTGAGTATAACATTGCAGTAAATTAATAAGTATATTAACACTCTCTCTCTGCTTTAATAAAAATTAAAAAAAGTATTTTTGAAATTCTACACTCAAATTTCGTGAGGGCAGACAGACATCGAAAAGAGCAACTTAAGATTTTGTCGAGTTCTTATTATACAATTTTGCTCTTGCAGTTAGCTTGTATCCAGCAACTGGCATGATACTTGGGTCAGTATTCTTTTTTTTTTCTTTTTACTTTTCCTCGATTATCAAACTGTGTACTGCTCGTCTAAAAATAAAAATAAACTGTAGGCTGGGTATAGGCCTAATTCCTATGCTAATAACACTTAATGAAATACGGTATGATTCTAGAATTACACGTTTTTAATCCCTTAAATTGGCCTTAAGCTTATGAGAAACACGAAGGTTTCAAACATAATGTTTTTAGCCTGTGAGAAATCGAAAGGCTCAAACATAACATTTTTAGGCTGTGAGAAATCGAAAGGCTCAAACATGACGCTTCTAGCTACAAGAGATAAAAAGGCTTCAAGTTCAAGTATGATGCTTCTAGCTACAAGAGATAAAAAGGCTTCAAGTTCAAGTATGATGCTTCTAGCTACAAGAGATAAAAAGGCTTCAAGTTCAAGTATGATGCTTCTAGCTACAAGAGATAAAAAGGCTTCAAGTTCAAGTATGATGCTTCTAGCTATGAGAAATAAAAAGGCTTCAAGTTCAAGTATGATGCTTCTAGCTACAAGAGATAAAAAGGCTTCAAGTTCAAGTATGGTGCTTCTAGCTACAAGAGATAAAAAGGCTTCAAGTTCAAGTATGATGCTTCTAGCTATAAGAGATAAAAAAGCTTCAAGTATGATGCTTCTAGCTATGAGAGATAGAAAGGCTTCCAATATGATGCTTCTAGCTATGAGAGATAGAAAGGCTCAAACATGACACTTTTAGCTATGAGAGATAGAAAGGCTTCAAGTATGATGCTTCTAGCTATGATAAATAGAAAGGTTTCAAGTATGATGCTTGTAGCTATGAGAGATAGAAAGGCTTCAAATATGATACTTCTAGCTATGACAGATAGAAAGGCTTCAAATGTGATAGCTTCAAAATTTAATTTACATTTCTAAATATAAATTAGCATAAAGTTATTTAGTAATATAAATGAAAGATATGTTATCAATATATATAAATAAATGTTACCACCTTACCATATTGTCCGAAAACGAATGCTCGACAAAAATTAGTTCTGTCTCTTGACCATTGAGGATGATACTCACTGAATTCTCATTTTCTTCAGCTGTAATTGTAGAAACAGAAGTTAATTGTTATAGACCCTTTCCCTAAGTTTGTCTAAAACCCAGTCTTTAATCATCTCAGTTAAGTACAATTACAAGAACGTAAAATTTCGAAACCTAGATTTTATTCTAATGAAAGAAAAAAAAAAACAATTTATCCAATAATGATTTTAATTGAAACACATCGACATCGTATATTATTGTCCAGTTTTTATCCAAAAGGACATAATTTTTTCGACGTTTTAAAAACACAGAAATGCACAGATGTTTGAATCAGTAATAAATCAATTACTTAAAAAATAGATATATTGTTTATCAAAAGGGGTGGAAGGTTGTATCAAAGTGTAGTGTAGTATAAGTTGACTTAAATTACATCTGTACATTCCATACAAGTTTAAAATACACATAGTTTGACAAACTTCATCCCTTATCATCACACGAATTCTTAGAGGAAATTTGAATTGCTGATTGACAGTTAATTTTAATTACCAAATGTAAATCCTTCTATGGAGAAGATGTCAAAATAGCTTCATGTTAAATCTTAATTAATACCTGTTGTGCTAAATGTTTCTTGAAGTTGCTATCAGTCACTTGCCATATTTGAGAATTTTATAAGAATTAGTTTAACCACACTGAAATCGACCCGATAATCTGATAGCTTTATGTAATATTTTCTTTTTTGGTTTTGTCTACGTTTAACGGCTTTTGATTATTTGTTTAAATCTCTTTGGGTCTTTAATTATGGGTTGAGCTTGCTCCGACAGTATATGTATTTGTTTGTTCCAGAAGTTTTTACTATTTTTTCCCATAAGTTGTACGTTTGGCACTATATAAATAATTATTTTATGAAACTTAGTGCAGTGATTTTTCCATATTACAACATGTAAAGATATTATGTTACATTGATTGAGTTAAATGCTGCAATAGGCTTGAGTATCGTATAAATATACTTAACAACCCTGAATTTCGGTTTAATATTTGTAACTATATATATATCACATTCAGACCCATAGCGTTTGATTGCTTGAAAAACGATACTACCTACCAAAATGGTGTTTAATAACAGCTAGATGGTCAAGAATGGTTTGTTTCTCTAGAATTGTTGAACAAAACTACACAAAGGTTATCTGTGTATAAACATCCCTAATTTGGGTCTGATAAGCTAGCTAGTCAACCACATCCACTGCCAACTCTTGGACTACTCTTGTTTGGCTGAATAGCGCACTTGTGATCCCAAAGTGCAGAACGTGTTTTGGTGGTAATAGGCCTAAAACCATGAATCCGCGGATTCACAGTCTGACACACGAGGCACTTGGCCACGATCGGCCCAAGGACATTCTTCTGAAACAAAAACATTTAACGCAATCTAATGAATTCAAAATTACTTTCCATTAAACGAAAGTATGTAAAATACATACTTGTTAGAGATAAAACTAGAAATATTCTTATGGAATCGAGACAATATAGCTATTGAAATCTAATGTCATGTGAACTTCCACAAAATTCCACCAGATCTTATAAACAGCAGTACCCTGTTAACAGTAACACTGCTTGTCATGTAAGCCCTCATAGCACGGTACGGTGTCTGGCAACTAGTTTGTTTGTTTGTTTGTTTTAAATTATGCACAAAGCTACACAAGGGCTATCTGTGCTCTGCCCACCACGGGTATCGAAACCCGGTTTCTAGCGTTGTAAGTCCGCAGACATACCGCTGTGCCACTGGGGGGCGTCTAGCAACTAGAAAAAGACGTTATGAGAAGAAACAAGGTCCATGATGAGTATAACAACGACGAATATGTGATCTTATCAGTTTAGATCGAGAGAAACTACGTCTGATCGTTTAGTTACTTGGATGACAAATTACAGATTACTTACATATACAAATCGATTTCTAATTATAATAGGCAGCACTTCTCTTTTAAAAAAAATCAGCTAACACCATCACGGCGTATATTCTGAATTTATATTAATATTTCTATCAATAACTTTTATTATCCAAGTAGACGTCAACAGCTCGTGAAAACGTTTGAATCACGGTAACCGAAGTTTTTTTTAGTAAGGTAGATTAACAGTGCGCATTCAGTTGGAAACGATTCGCCTCCTTAATAAGTTAGAACGCTTCTCGTCTAATCCTGAGGTCGCGGGTTCGAATCTCCATTCTACAAAACATGTTCGCCCTTCAACCGTGGGGGCGTTATAATGCCACAGTTAATCCTACTTTTCGTTGGTCAAAGAGTTGCCCAAGAGTTAGCGGTGGGTGGTGATGACTAGCTGCCTTCCCTCTAGTCTTCCACTGCTAACTTAGGAACGGCCAGCGCAGATAGCCATCGTGTAGCTTTGCGCGAAATTCAAACCAAACTAATTCTGTGATAAAAAATTCAACAGAAGTCGGAAACTATGGGTCAGAACTTATAAGTATGTTCTACCTTAAAGGACATTACGGAAACTAGCCACAAAAACAATTTTAAAAAGTCTTTGAAACTAATTGAGCCTTATTGACTTTTTGATGAAATACCTTTCTAGGTCACGTGATGAATTTGCTATTAGATGACTGTGTTTCAATCTGCAGTAGGTAAAGGGCGTTTCTCTGAAAAGCTCGTGCAGTAAGTGACCTCTACAGGATATGAAATAATGTAACATTCTCAAGTGTTGGTGGGGAAATGTAAATAAAAGTTGAATATGAAAAGGCAACATATATTAGGTTTCACTGACTTTATAGGAAACCACATAAAACTGGCGAATTGCCTCGAAGATAGTGTTTTCTCCAATTACCGTGTTTCCAAGAGTATGAATATATTTCAGTGTTATAAATATCAACAAACAGAAACTTTTCAATTCAAAGAAGACACGTCTTGTCATTCAAAAAAAAGGTAAAGTTCACTTGTTATTTATTTTTGTTTGATTCAATACAATGCTTCAAATTTATTGACATCTTATATTTTATCATTTCCATAGAATCAATCCCCGTCCCACCAAACATGCTCGCCGTGAGGGCGTTATAATGTGACTGTCAATCCCACTATTCGTTGGTAAAAAGAGTACTCCAAGAGTTGGCGGTGGGTGGTGATGACTAGCTTCCTTCCCTCTAGTCTTACACTGCTAAATTATGAACATTTGATATATATTTTCAATATATTCCGCGCTACCTGGCATGTAATAAAAATATCATAACTTATGTTAATTTTGTTTGTAGTTAAACACAAAGCTACACAATGGGCTATCTGTGCTCTGCCCACCACGTGTATCGAAACCCGGTTTCTAGCAGTGTAAGTCCGCAGGCATGCCACTGTGGGAAAACTTATGTTAATTAGTACAAAGTAATAATTGTATATGTGACATAGCTACAAATATAAGATGGTACAAACTAATTCGTCTTAGCTTGGGTTTAATACACAAATACTGAGTGATGAGTAACACTGAATTATTAGAGCGATGTTGATAACCCATTACGCTGTGAAAGTAAAGTCCGTACTGTGGTGTAAGTTGGAATGAGATTAACACTCTCAAAAGACTAATAATGAACTTGTTTCTCATCCATTCGGTGAAAAGTTGAAATAATCTAAACACAAAGCCACCAAAATCTTCAATTTTTGGCTTATAGCTGTGTCTTACATTCAGAACAGGCTGTGGGAAGCAAAGTAGTTATATCTCGTTCGTGTTGGACACGAATCAAGATTCATTTCATGTTTCCATTGTTATAATAAGAAAATCTGTGCCATAAAAACATGCGAGACTGTCGCTAAGTTCATAAGGCGTTGAGCTTATTTAGAAAGCAGAGAAATGTAATATAGTATCTTTTTGGCAAGCATTTTTCTCGTGTTCAGCGTGTCTTTATACGATAAATATTACCGTACAAAGGAGATGGACAAAAAATAGAAACACCTGCTTAAATATGTGCCCATTCTTTCCTAGTTATCTCATTAACTTGTTATTCCAGTGACATCTTGGACAGGTGATCCCAATTAATAGGTGATTTAGTGGTCCATATTGTAAAATTCTTGGCTTTCCAAGAGGAGCAAATATATCAAAAGGTATTACATGTCGATCACCCATATAGGTCTTATCAGGTAAATATAGCAACGTGGAAGATCGTCACGAGTGAACGAGACTATCATGTTGTATGTTAAATTGTGTCCTCGAGGATGGAACCCAATTCCTTAGCATACCTTTCAGAAACTTACAGATGATCTACTCTAAAGAACTGAAGGAGTTCTAACAGCTAAAGGTGGAACCACACCTTATCAAGCTACTGTCAATTGGATGACTTTAAAATTTTGTCCAACGTGTGATGCTGTCCGTCTTATGATAGTCAGCGTTGCCTGCCAACGTACCATGTTTATTGTCTTGTTTGTTTTGAATTTCGCGCAAAGCTACACGAGAGCTATCTGCGCTAGCCGTCCATAATTTAGCAGTGAAAGACTAAACGGAAGGTAGCTAGTCATCCCCATCCACCGCTAATTCTTGAGCTACTCTTTTACCAACGAATAGTGGGATTGACCGTTACATTATAACGCCACCACGGCTGAAAAGGCGAGCATTTTTGGTGGGAGGGGGATTCGAATCCGCGACCTGCAGATTGTGAATTGAGTGCCCTAACCATGTTTATTTTTACTCATTAGATCATTACTGTAAATACATCTTAGTCTTCCAGTATGTGAATTAATTATAGTAGTTTTGCTATATTTATTCGATTATTCTAACATTCGTTTGTTTTTCGGCTCAGCGGGAAGGTTGAGGACATGTAATGCTAAAAATCGGGTTTCGATACCAGCGGTGGCCAGAACATAAATAGTACATTGTGTGTCTTAGTACTTCATAAGAAACAAAAGCATTCATTTTTTAAAATAAACTAATTAGTTGATTTAGCTAACTTTTTTATCCTATTCTTTAAAGAAATATACACCAAGTGTGTAGATTCAATCTATTTTAATACCAGCTTTAAGGCCTAGAAATTATGATTAATAGCTTACTAAAACATTTGCATTCCATAATCAGTTTTGAAAAATTAAATGTTTTGGGGTACTTATTGTTTTTCTTGCGTGGTTAAAGTCTTGTATGTGGATGTCCTAATTTCCTCAGAATAAACCATAAATTAGCTTTCGATAAAATATTATCCATTCAGTTACATATTAATGCAAATAGCGTATTAAAAAGATCAGAGCATTTTGTTACGTAGTAGGTGGGCACCCATTTGAGCAGTGGCATATTTAACGTCGGTGCAATCGTGGCAACGCATCGACAGACCCCTCATATTGCGGGACCCCCAAAGTAATGTAAAACAACTTTCTATACCTATAGCTGATCAGTACGGACGGGCCCCCTAATAAAATTACATCGAGTAGTTTGAAGTGTTAAAATATTTGATTGCCCAAGTCCACTTGAGTTGGTGTCGAGGCCCATGCCTAGTACAACTACTGGGCACCCAACCGAGTGGCTGGACAACTGCCAATTACAATCACAAAATTTTAAAGTAATATTTCGGGTAAGCATTTATGACGTATTGTGTATACATTCATGGTTAACAACATCCTATGGATGACCTCCCCTATACGGCTTTGGCATGTACAGAGATGTATATTTTGAAATTTCCTAAAAAAAAGGTGCCTTGTAAAAGATACGGAACAGAAACACCCATGTAATTTTGATTATCGACAGGTCTCTCCTAAATAAACATCAGGGAACACGTGTTGTTAAGACGTTCAAGACTGATCATTTCAAGGAAAGATTAGTTAAAATTAGAACGTTCAGTAGCTGTAAAAATAGCTTCCATCTTGCTGTTCTAAAATGAACCAAAATAGGCTGATATAAAAAACAAACAAATTCAAAAGAAAAAATAGCTCTCCGTCGTAACAGAGTTACCCGACAGAAACGTGTTTTGGAATGCATGCACTGTATTGTAAGATAACATCGTTTCTGACCAAGCAAAGTGTCGTAAGCTGAATTTGAAGCATTGTTTCTGATCAAGCGAAATGTCGTAAGCTGAATTGGAAGCATTGTTTCTGATCAAGCGAAGTGTCTAAGCTGTATTGGAAGCACTGTTTCTGACCAAGCGAAGTGTTGTAACCTCGGTATAATAAATTATTTTGTTACTTACTTTTGGAGTGTCGTAATCTCGGTATTATAAATTATTTTGTTATTTACTTTTGGAGTGTCGTACGTTCGGTATTATAAATTATTTTGTTACTTACTTTTGGAGTTTCGTAAGGTCAGTGTTGTAAACTTTGTTTCTTACCTAACGAAGTGTCGTAAGCACAGATGTACTCTGATGTAGAGAACTGGGAAGTGAGTGAAGATTTCCCTACATCTGGACTACCAATGATCAACACTCGGTGGAGTACACTCTCTGTTACAATGACAGGAGGAACATCCTGAGTTTTAGGGACCGGCAACATATCTGCTACCGAGTTTGATTTTGTGGTATTGTTATGCGGAGGTTGAGATCCTATTGGGAGGATATTGCGGGTAATTCGTGACTTGGAACGAAAGGAATCTCCTCTATTTATGACTCCTTTGGAGGTCACACAGAAGTTCCTGAGCCGCTGGAAGTCGCCAACTTCAGTGGGCAATAATAGTAGAGAGTGGTCAGAGGAGGACCGGGTGTTAAGGTTAAAATCCAGTTGGGGGGTCATGTCTACTGGGATGCTAGCTACTCTCTGCCGGAAACGGTTGCTAGGTTCTAAACATCGGAGTCTTCTAGTTGTTTTCATTGACTGGGACCGACCAACTGTGTTATTTCTTTTTACTCTACCCTGGGTGGGACTCCTTGGTTGGAGGCTGGAGGCTCGTGGCATAATGAAGTTTGTCCCTGGACTAACGCTGTGTGATCCCCTACGAATAGAATGATCTAAGTCTTCATTTTGGTCTAGCTTCAGAAGATCAGGGGCGCTTCGGAGATATGAGGCACACAGTCCATGACCCAGCAGGTCCGCTCTAGATATGGAGGGGCTGAGCTCACCCTCTGAAGTTTCCTCTAAGGTCATGATTACAGACGGCTTTCTCAGGTCTACCTAATAAATAAGATTAACGGTACAAAAGCCACGGTTGATTTTAAATTAGAAATTATGGTGTTTCTGAAATACGTTTACCCGTTTAAATGCGCAGTTAATGTTTTCCTTCTTTCTAACCCCACGTGCACGTGTTGATGCTGGCACTGCGTATCTCACGACCTCGAGACACTGGGTGGCTTTATTCGTTTGTAACAGTCCCCACGTGACCTTACGTCACAACTGCGCAACTGAAAAACAGTGCAATCATACTGAGAGCTGCTGAACTGCAAACCCTAAAATGTCTAAGTCAGAAAAGTGATTACACACATTTCCTAAATTCTGAACTAAAAGGCGTCGTCGTTGCTTATATGTTTGTCAAACGTTGACATTTAAAAGGAAAAAAAAAGAGCTTGTCACGAAAAATGATCAAAAGAATTGAGGCACACACATTCCTCTCCCATACACACACAAAAATGAGTTGTTGATTTATCTTTTTGCACGAAGAAAGCAACTGTAATTTTGCTAGTACATTTTAATACCTCAGGTATTTATATAAAAGTGATCTAACAGCCTAATTTTTGTAGATTTAAACAGAAAACCGTATTTCTTATCACGAGTAGCTTTAATAACTTTAAACTTACCTCAGCTCTGCTGATACTATTTCAACTTTTGTGCAAAACAACAGATGAGGAGGAAAGATGCATTTGTATTTTGTATTTATGGGGAAACTACTAAGACGTTGATTTTGAACCACTGACCAGTGGGAAGGTAGCCAGTCAACAATACCCTACCATCCATGTGAAAGAATTGGCTGTCACTCTTATAAAGTACGGGAAATATTCTGTGGCATCGCACGGACTCGAACCTAGTTCGCCAGATCCAAATCTCGACCACAAAGCCGATCCGATGAATGTCGGTTTCATAGGTATAAAGTTACAGTAAATATCATCGACGTTTTCTAAAGTAACGACTGATAATATGTCACTGGAGTAATCTCGGTAGGTTCGGAGAGATCCAGAAAAGGAATGGAATGTTTGTTTGTTTGTTTTGAGTTTCGCGCAAAGCTACACCAGGGTTATCTGCGCTAGCCGTCCCTAATTTAGAAGTGTAAGACTAGAGGGAAGGCAGCTAGTCATCACCACCCACCGCCAGCTCTTGGGCTAATCTTTTACCAACGAATAGTGGGATTGACCGTCACATTATAACGCCCCCACGGCTGAAAAGGCGAGCATGTTTGGTGTGATGGGGATTCGAACCCGCGGATCGCGAGTCGAGTGCCCTAATCACTTGGCCATTCTGGGACGAATGGGATGCAGGCAGTTATGACTTTATTAGAATAGATATTGGACGTTGAGTTCAAGACAAAAGAGGTTACATGAGATTAAATTTGAAACTTTTGCTTGTGTTGTTTGTCATAAGGAGAAATTATAAATCATGTTGACATTAAATTATTTGTTCTAAACGAGAAGGGAAGTAATCGGTTGAATATTAAAAGTAGATTCTGGGAAAAGTTTGTTTGTTTTTGAATTTCGCGCAAAGCTACACGAGGGCTATCTGTGCTAGCCGTCCCTAATTTAGCAGTGTAACACTAGAGGGAAGGCAGCTAGTCATCACCACCAGCTCTTGGGCTACTATTTTACCAACGAATAGAGTAACATTATAACGGCTGAAAGGGGGAGTATGTTTGGTATGACAGGGATTCGAACCCGCGACCCTCAGATTGCGAGTCGAGTGCCTTAACCACCTGGCCATGCCGGGCTGTCTGGAAAAAGTATATGCTATTCACAAAGTATTCACATTGGTTCGGAAATTTTATAATAAGGTGAAAGTATTTTGTTTGCAATAAAATAAAAAGGTTTGAGTTATAAAAAAACTATTCCTTTTGCGTCATATATGATAAAATAAGCAACATCGACTTTAAAATATATTTTCCTAGAATATAAAGAAAACATTTTGAGAAAAATCACTAATGTTCGATAAAAATATCTTTTTTGGACCTAACTTTGATTCTTGCAGACAGTTCGAAAAGCATGATTAAATAAAATGCATCAAGTCATTAGTATTTTCAACCTATTGAGCACCTTTTGCAGCGCACACACTAAGGGTCAAGCTTAGAGACCCCTAATGCTCAAGTATAGCCATCTCTAATTTAGAACTAATGACCAGGGGGAAGACAACCAGTCAGCAGTAGCCGCATCCTATTATGCTGCTACTTTTAATCGAATAGCGGCACTGATTATCACATTTATAACGCCACCCACAGCTTTAAACGCTTTAAATAATAAAAAACTAAGTACCTCTACCTCTATGAAATGAGCTTAAACAATAACTATTAGGGTATCTCATCATAGTAGTCGATACGATACGTATCTAGATACATAAGTCTTACAAACGGTTTGTTACAAAGTTTAACAGTTTTGTCTGGAATTTATTGTTGCGTCAGCGAGTCACATGACCACTGTGACGCCACGTTTCTAGAACTATCTTGTTTCTTCATGAATGCTCTAGTGTTTGCTAGATGGGGTAGGCGGGTATATATGAGAGGGGGACAACGTGACAAGGTAATGTAATGTGTGCGTAGATAGTGAGTAACTGATCTGCAGTCAGAAGTATTATTGAGCACGTTCGTCATTTATAGCGTTTGTTTAGCGCGATTGTTGAAGTTGAGTGTATCGGTAAAGTTGTATTCGGAAAGAATAAACCAGTTTTTATTAAGAAAGAACTTGTGTCGCTTAAGATTCGTCGGAACGAAGTTACGGAAAATCAATTGACAAACGGAGACGTAACAGTATATATCGAAAATAAAGTAGATTATTAGGCTTAAGGCATAATACTGTTAGATCCACATTTGTAAATTTAGCCATTGTGACTGGTACTTTAAGTTATTACCAAGCTGTATACTCTTTGATGCACGATTTGATGATAGCTATTGATACTGAGTTTTCCTGACACTGTTTGTGTGCTGTTAAACAGAGTAAATATTTATTATAAAATTGTGCCTTTTGTAGTTTCTACTTCTGGTCAGTTTTTCTTTCCTTTAACGAAACCCAATATTCAGCGTTACAGCTGAGCCACCATCATGACCCAAGTTGAACAAAAAAACCGGGTTAACTAACAAATGAATGAATATTTGCAGTAAAATTCTTATCAATGCTATAAGTGTATAGTTTGGCCGCCAATTTTGATTTCATTCCTTTAAGTCTCATATTCAATCATTTTTTAGCCGCACCTTTTCTTTTGTTTTCACACCTAAGGTGTTTTTAATTAGATTTGATTTTAAAGGTGGTTATTTAGGTATTGTAAAACCGTAATCCTTTCTTTTGCCAT